GCTGTTTCTGTCCGTCCCACATTCAATGTCACTTTTCTTTTTTGGAAAATGATTACACGCTTTAATCTCATTTTAAACTTTTTAATTTATTTTTTTTAATTTTAATTAAACTAATTAGTTATCTCAATCTTAATTTATAATTATTTATATTATAGAATAATTATTTTTACTAATACATTTTTAATTATCTATTAATTATACTTTTCCTAAAATACCGTGTCTACAATGTAGCATACACGGTATATGGGACGGAGGGGGGAGTATTTTTTAAATAAAATATTTATTTTTTTAATATCCTTGACATACTAGCAAATTAAAATATTAGGATAATAATAATTAATATTGTTATAATATCTTAATAAAATAATAATAATTTCAAAATTAAAATATAATACTAACAAATTATTAGCAATTTTAAAAAATATATATTTTTAATTGAACTTTTAAATGAATTTTTTTTTTCATAAAAAAATATGTAAATAAATTTATTCGAAAATAATATAGAAAGAATTCAAAATCCAAGTTACTTGACAGTAGAACATTATTAATCTTCATATCCATCTTATCTTATTGCCACATCTCATTAATTTTGTTAAATTAATAATAGATATACATATAATAAAATTATGCTACAATTAATCAATTAAAGTAAATTATTCCCTCCGTCTCATTGCCATATCTACATTTCTATTTTAGTATGTTTAACTTATTTTGTTACATTTTTTTTTAAAAAAAGAATTATACACTTTAATTTTATTTTAAATTTTTTTAATTTATATTTTTTTATAATTTTAATTAGACTAAATATTTATTTTAATCTTAGTCTATAATTATTTTTATTATACGATAATTATTTTTATTAATTTATTTTTAATTATTTACTAATTATACATATCCTAAATTTCTATATTTATAATAAAATTGACATGATAGTGGAGACGAATGGAGTAATATATTGAATAATAATATAATAAAAATTCTAAAATTATTCATATGTATAAATGGTATTATGGTGTAATTATTATACATCATTAATCGTATATAATATATAATGGTGATGGAAATGAAAAGATAAAAACAATGAATAATTTAATCTATATATTTTAACTATATTATAGTATTTTGTATTTTTATTTAATTATTTGAATATTTTTTATATACAAATTTATTTCATATAAATTTATATAAATTAATAAAAAAAATTATTTTAGGGTCCTATAAAATGTATATAAATTTAAAAATACTCCAATCAAATTTATAAAAATTCATTTAAATCAATACGAAAAATTCACAAAAATCCAACTATGTGGATTTTCTAAATCGACATAAATGCATAAACAATCCAATCAAATCTATAAAAATCTATTTAAATCAATACATAAAATTCACAAACTCTCTATATTTTCTAAATCATTACATTTTTTAAAAATCTAATAAAATCTCAAATGAATACACCCCCTTCAATCTGATTCCGTAGAATTTTGTTGGACGTTTAAAATCTGAGTGTATTTAATCAAGACTTTTAGAAGTCTTTTAAAATCCGAAAGTATTCAATTCAGACTTTTTAAGGTGTGTTTGTTTGTGGGTTTTAGTTTTTTAGGTTTGGATTTTGAATAGTAAAAAGTTGAATTTGAATAGTTATTTGATGTAATATAAATAGAGGTTGATGTGATTTTTTAATATAAAATAAATTTGTAGTATAGTATAAAAAAAAATAATTGTTTGATATGATATTTTTGAAGAAAAAAAAAATCTAAATAGGAAAACCTAAAAAAAAAAAAAAAAAACCCAATTAAGTCTTTTAAAATCATGATATATTCAACAATCCTTTGTCCAACCCCACACCACCAGGTCATCCCTTACGAGACTAGTATAAAATCTCTCTTGATAAGTAGATATTTTGATGTATTTTTAAAATTATTATTATTATTATTATTATTATTATTGTTGTTGTTGTTGTATAAGTTATAAATAATATGATAATATTTATTAGGATAAACTGTTTTTTTTAGTCCCGTAACTGGACCCCCTTATCATTTTAGTCCCGTAAGTGGAGCCTGTCGCAAACTAGTCCCATAATGGAGAAAAGTGGAAGGAACTCATAGGATTATACTTCACAACAGTGTGACAAAAGTCATACAATCTGGTGTATTGTTCCTTTATGTCACCCTTTAAAAGTTCAATTGCATGTTTCTTGGCCCGATATACCTTGTACTTACTAACCTCCACATCCACATCTCTCATTATCTTTCGAGTTAATGAGTCAATGGTTTCAGCAGGATTATTTCTTATATATTTCAATATCCTTCTACCTAGATATCTATATATATATATATATATATAAAACAAACGAACAAACAAAAAATAATAAATGCAACCGTCAAGCAAAGCAAAGCTTGTATCAAATATTCAAATAAATACAGTTAGCATATATTTAAAAATTTCTTATAAATAAACAATGATAAAAATATTTAAAAATTAAATAAAATATAGACAAATATCATAGAACAAGTACTACAAGCAGTGATTGATCAAGCAATACTATAAGCAGAGAAACAAAAGCACTTTGGAAAAATTACTCAATACTCCCAGTAAAATAAATTTCTGCATTGGCCAAGCAGTGAAATAAATTCGTCAAATAATACTAAAAAAATTAAATAAAAAATTAAACTAAATCACATAAAAGGTGCAGAAGAAAATATTGAATCACTTTGGCATGTAAACAAATCAATATAGAATGCAAATAGCAACAAGACTGTGTAAGAAAAGTACCTGAAATCAGCCTGTGAGTTTGTGGTAATGTGCGCACACGTGCGTTTTCCTTTGAGTGTCTTGATTTGAAATGTTTTTCCCCTCATAATAGAAGACGCTCCGATTGACCAATCACACTTTTTTTTACATTGCGCAGTCACTACATGTTTTTCCATCTTTGAGTACTTCAAATTCCAACCCCTACACACCGTCCAATTTTTTAAAACCTCTTTGTACTTCTCTCGTGAAGGAAACTTCATGCCAATAATCAAATCATGTTGGCCCATATGAATTGATTCATCCCACTCTCTATATATCGGCAAAGTATTTTCTTCATCTGATTGTTTTCCTCCTTCCAAATCACAATCTGAATTACAATCACTGTACCATTCAGCTCCTTCTTCCGTCATACTTGATTTTGCTCGCTCTTGTTTATCTTCTCGTTTATAATTTCTTCTTTCTCGCCTCAATGAACGCACTTCTTTCAACAGTACTTTTATTTTTCCACAATTATCAGATGGCTGGTCAGTGAAGATATCATCATCATTTGGCCCATCAAACTCCTCGTACATCCAAGAGGGATCATCAGATTCCAAATCCTTCCCAATACCATCATCAAAGTCACTGTCTGTAGATAACTCATTGCATCTTTTGTAAGGAAATTCTGAAGTTGTTATATGACTAAAAGTTCCAGTCATTCTCTCACCCACCTCGTCATCGCGAAAACCTCCCCATCCATGCTCCATCTCATCTCCGAAGCCACCGCTAACATCGCTTACAATTTTCTGCCCACCGACATTATCATCATTTAGTGTATATTCCTCCATACCTCCTTCTTGATTACCATATTCTCTCACATTGAGCGGTTCATATGTAGACTTCATCTCACGAGAAAAAACTTCAAATCAAATTCATTTTTGTGTAATTTCAATCGAAAGTAGAAATCAAGGTCAACAACAACCAAAATTCACAAATTAATTTATAAATGATGTACGGTGGTCCCCCGAACGTTTAGAAATTTCATTTAGTGAACTTTGCGGCCCCTCCCCAAAATTAAACAAATCGTTTCCGGTGGTTCCCAAATCAAAAGATATTATTAAAAACTAGCAGTCACTCCTATCAAAACAGACGAAATATACAAAATTCTTTAAATAATTTAAAAAATCGAAGAACAAAAGCTATGAAACTCATAAATCAACATTCATTGGGCAAGATATTACTTACCGAAAAAGAATGGTGAAGTTCGGAATTAGGGAGAACATCGGAAATCTGAGTGACGAAACGGTGAACTTGGCAGTGAACGACAGAAAATCGATAAAATCCTGCCCTAGGTTAAAGTTGGAGTGGACTATTGTGAGAATGTTGAAGTCGAAGTGGAATCTGGTGGGTTAGGGATATAACGGTCCAAACGTGTAAATTATTAACGGTGTTAAGATTTATACCTAATTGTGGAGCGTATGCAACCAAAATTAAATACGGTGTGTTTTAAGATGACACTACCAAAAAAATGGTCATTTGTAGCGAAATCTTAATCGCTACAATTTTCTTGCTATAAAAGTTTTTTTTTAGCAGATATTACCGTAATAAATGATATTTTTGGTATGGTCAACACATTTTCTTTTGCTGCGGCATATTTCCGTTACAACTACAATAATTTTATTTTAAATTTCAAAATAAATCTAAAATAATTTGAAATAATATATCATATTTATATATATATATGTCATATAATACATACATAAAATCACTACAAAAAAAATTGAAAAGTGCAATGGAATATTGCTACGGAATACAATCTATTGCAAAATTGCAACGGAACTTACTAGGCAACAAAGAAATAGTCTCAATTGCGATATGTTGTGAGAGAATACTGCAATAGAATAGATTTGTTACAAATATTTTTAAATTACACAAAGAATATAATATTCCGTTGCAAAATTGCGACGGAAATAGCAACATATTAAATTTGTTGCAAATTTCCCAAAAATTATGCAATGAGTTGCAAAATTGCCATGGAAATAGCCATAGATTAAATCTGTTGCAGATTTTCTAAAAATTATGCAACGAAATATTCTGTTGCAAAATTGCGACATAAATAACAACAAATTAAATTTGTTGCAGAGTTCAAATAAATTTTTTTTTTTTTTTTAATTTTATAAATAATTTAATAATTATTATTTTTAAAATTTTTAATTTAATTTTTAAAATTTTAATTTTTAATTATTAAATATTACGCCAAAGGCCACCACCACCGCCATTACCACCACAGCCACCGAAATCTGAACGCACCTACTGCTACTACTACTACCGCCTTCAACGCCTCCGCAATTTGTTCCCACATCTCTGCTGTTTGGCGGTCGCATTCTGCGTCGGAGTATATTTTTTGTGTGTTTTTTTCAGGTGCGAAGGCGGATAGGGCTGGAGATAAATGTCTGCTGTGAGATGAAGCAGAGGAGTTCGTTTACCTGCGTTTTGTGGCGGTGCTCGGTGAGCGTTTTGTTGGTGTTCGCTTTGTTTTTGCTGGTTCTGCGCTCGGCTGATGCTACGCAGTTCCAAATCGGGAGCAATGGCAGACCGCTGACGGAAGCCGAAGTGAAATACATCACGAAAAGGCAGCTGCTGTACTATCTGGATGAGTTTGGGGACAGAGGAGAGAATGTGAGCGTCGATCCTTCTCTGGTGTTCGATACAGTCTATTATTAATAAACTCACCTCTTTACTTATGGTTGTGGATCTCGGCCCTCTGCTCTGCTTATGTAGTTTTTCTAGTTGAAATGATTCCATGTATCTGTTTCAGCATTGAGCGGCGCAACAAAAGATCTTTTGGAAGAAAACAATCAGGCTTTTGGTAAGATTTCAGCAAATCTTACGACCCTCGAGGTAAACCTCGAACTCTATTGTCCTCGAAAAATTTGTACCATACTTATGGTTAGCTTAATTTGGTCATGATTATAGATCAAGCATATCATATGCTGTTTCGGGGCAGGGAAAGAACACGGTGCATATATCTTTCATAACAAATATCTACACAATACATTGTTACATAGTAGAGCAATACAATTTTCTTAATTGTTATAAAAGGTTATTTTTTGGAATGTTTTGAGTTTCGACTAGATCTATAACCAGGTCTGAAAATGTTGATTTATATTCCTAGCATTTGGATGTATCGAATACTAGCCGTAGTTGTAAATGTGGTTTATCTTACCGATCTAAATTCTTCTCTGAATGCACTCCATACTTTACATTAACACGTCTCTGAATATGGAATGGTTATCTGATAAATGAAATGTCATTTTCTAAGACAGATGAACAACATTAGTGGGTACGTTCCTGGGCGGATAGTATTCTTCCTGGTATGTATGTATGTATCATAATGAGAAGGAGGATGAGGATGAGGTTGCAGTGGGGGAGCATATACTCATTCATTCCTTCAGCTGCAACTCCATGTTGACAGCTTGCTAGCTAGGCGGGTAGTTTGTTGTGAAAAACCAGTTACATTATTTGGTTGTATTAGTTCCCTCTTTTTTCTTGTTGCCATAGATTAAACAAACCCCTCGGCTTTTTAATCTTTAATGTTATTATTTACTGGTTGTGTTTCTAGTTAAGTTTCAATGAATTTATTTTATGTTATGAGGGTTCATAGTGTGAGCAGTCCTTGCCACTTTTCATTATTTATTAACAAATGTTAGTTTCTCTTTGAATATGTCAGATCAATGAGGTTAAAAGTAACTCCATATTGTCTGAATTACCCATGACTTCATTTTGTAATTTAGCTGTTTCTGTAGAGCTATACACAGTACATCCCGCTACAAATCATTGATCTCGATTCCTGGTTGAAGACCCCCTCAATATATGTTTTTGATTGCTCTGCTGCTGGATTTATTGTGAATGCCTTCATTGAGGTACAGTTTTCCTACCAAGAAAGCTTCATTCGAGCTAGTGAGTTGGTTTTAACCTTTTTTTCTTTGTTCTCTATATTTTAACAACACAGCTCCAGGAAAATAGTACCTCAAGTTCTGGATCTTCCATGAGGAACTGTATTTTGCTAGCAGCCTGTGAAGCTCATGAGACGCTACCACAAAGTGCTGAGTTTCCTGCTGATGTGTTTACTTCCTGCCTTACAACACACATAAAAATGGCACTAAGATGGTGATCCACAACTCAATTTTATTCCTAATTTGAATTGCCATTTACATCATGTTTTTGGTTTATGTTCCATTATTATGTAGCTATCACCAGTTGGTTAGTGTCTGTTGTTTGTGTTGGTGAAATGAAGAATAGTCTATCTCTTCTCTCTCTCTCAGAATATCCTGTAGGTGGCTCGAACAGGATGCAATTGCACAACATATTCTCTAAGAGCTATATTAAATCGAATGATTGAAAAAAAATGAAATCACTTGTTGATGTAATCCTACGTGGATTTTTTCTATTTTATTTTATAAATAGTTATTGGTCATTGAAACAAACTAGGCTACAAGCCTTTATTAGGAGTCTGAATCCTGAATATCTAAATGTGTTAATTTTTCTGATATGTAATTGTCTTCGCTTGATAAGATATTTTTTGATCATGCATTTTGATGACCAATTGCCTATTCAGCTAGTTTATTTGTTTTTGTTTTGTATCTTTTCTGTTTTCGGTCACTTCTTCATGAATCAATTGATTATTCTCTGATAGATAGAATTCCTGGCCGCCAAACAGACAGGAAGACCCTTCTTGGGGAATTGAACTGGATATTCACAGCTGTGACTGATACTATTGCATGGAATGTACTTCCTCATGGTAACAAAGACCTAATGTCATTTGGTCTATGTTTTATTCTAATCTTAGCTATCATATTTTGTTCTTAATCTAATTGAATGAGACTTTGAATGCTACAGATTTATTCCAGAGATTGTTCAGGCAAGATCTTTTGGTTGCCAGCCTGTTTGGAATTTTTTTGCTTGCTGAAAGGATAATGCGGTCTGCAAATTGTTCGCCAGTTTCACATCCAATGTTACCACCAACCCATCAGCACCATATGTGGTAAATATTTGTGCTTGTCTGCCAAATGTACATCTAAGACATGCGTTCTTCATTAATTGGTATTTATTTGTCTTATATCCTTGTGATTTGCAGGGATGCATGGGACATGGCAACTGAAATATGCCTTTCTCAGCTTCCAACATTAGTTGAGGACCCAGAGGCCGAGTTCCAGGTATCTCTGATTATTACTTGTATTTTTTGTAATTCAGAATTTATCACTTTGATTTTTGATGTAACTTATGTGTTAGGTATTTGGATACATTAACAGTACTCAATTAATTGTTGTTTTTAAATTGGTACATGTTTAAGTTGGTTGTTTAAACAAACAGCTTTTCACATGTATCAAATAAATTGATCACGTTGCTGGTTGTTTTATACTTGCGCGGTTGTACAGATTTGGTCCGGATGTCATCAAGATAGGATCCATGCTATAATTATAGTTATACTAATCTATATTTTACAATTTTGATTACGCTGTTGTATGGATGGTTAAATTAGGCGATCATCTCCGACTTTTTCTCTTACGTATACTATAATGTTTTAGTTAATATCTTTAATATTTTATATTGATTATATAAAACGTGAGTCTTATTTTCTTTTCGATGATTTGCACATATTTTCTTTATATGTCCATAGGTGACACTGTTGACATAGTAAAGGTTTTTGTTACATCTGCTACTGTTCCGGAGGCTGCGCTTATTCTACGGACAATCTCCGGGGCACAAACACTGGGTGAGGTTGTCCGCGCCGAGCCAATCGACTGGACATTTAAAGATGTACGCAATCACATTTTTCAAGATTTTCTATTGGATTACAACTTAACCATCTCACAAATAAATTCTTATATAATTTTGCACAATGTTGGCAGTTTGTTCATCGCCCGTAACTACGGTGTACGACCACTTTGACTGTGCATGGGGCATTGCAGCATGGCACGTGATTCTATGATGATTGACGTTTGTTTGTTGATTGATGCTAACCGAGTCCTTTATGTTGGTTGAACTTGCTGTCTCTGCTACATTTTGTGTGTTTGCTACATTTTGTGTGTTTGTTGCTACGCTTTGCCATATATGTTAGGTTATATTGCGAAATATTTATATTTCTACACAGGGCGTAGTTGCTACAACTTATGGTGATACAGAATTGCCGTAATATTTTCATATTTTGTAATGTCATTTGGCAGTATTTTCTCACATCGTACAGGTTTTTCGGTCACGAAACTATTTTTTTTAGGTTATTATTGAAAAAATAAGGAAACTTTTTTCGATACAATAAATTGGTCGTTACAAATGCTGGTACAAAAAATATTAACTAGATTTCTGAAAATCAACTATTGTGACGAATTACTACCTTACAAGTGGATAAACGTTTATTGTAATGATTCTTTTATAACGGTAAATGGCCGCTACAAATAAATCGAAATTACAATGATAGCATTACAAACACTGTACAATAAATAATGGTCATTTGTAACGGTTATTGAACCGCTACAAATGGCCATTTTTTTGGTAGTGTGATTTTATTAATAGAGGGGATATTACGCTAATTTAATAAAACATAGGTAGGTAATATATAATTTACCCAAATATCAAATCAAAACCGAGCATTTCGAATGACGGTTTATAAACGGCCGATTACGGTTTGAACGACTGGGTTATATGTATTTATTTTTAATATATATATTTTTTTATTTTCTCTTTTTCTAAAAATTTGAATTTTATTTAAAAATAATTAAATTTTATTTAAATATATTTATTATTTATTTATTATATAAAAATCATATATATAACTAATTAATTAAATTGTTACCGGATACAAATAATTAAAATAATAAATAAATAATTAAATTATGAAAATATTGTAATAAATAAAATAATTTAAATTATATATAATTATATAATAAAAAATTATAAATTATAAAATATAAATAAAAAATATTAATAGTATTATTATTTTTCAATATTATTAATAATTATTTATATTTATTAATATTGTAAATATAAGAATATTATAATAAAATCCACATCCATATTCCACGACGGCTCACGCCGCACCCGCCCCCTGTGTTCTCCTCTTCCTTCGGACGCCGCCGCAGTCGCGCCTGCTCCCGCACAAAGGTTCTCCCTCTTCCTTCCTTCTTCCTCCCATTTATTTCCTTTTTTCTTCCAACCTCGGACCTTCTCCTCCGTTCCTCCTTTCTTCTTCTTCTTCTTCTTCCGCGGGTTGGGCGTGGGGCGGGTCATCACTGGTTCGGAGTCGGGTGCGATTACTGTGCATCGATCTCGAGTCTTGTCCAACGGAGATTTGCCTAGTTTTCAATTGGAAGGGTCAGATTGCTTCAGCGATTTCGATCCGTGTTTTTATTTCTGTTATTTCAATTTGACCCTATTGCTAATTTTTGTTGATTTACGCCCCAAGTTAAGTACTTTTGGTTTCGTTTGTTTGTTAGGGCTTAGTTCTGTCAGGTAATGCTCCTATTCTTTGCTCGATTTGCAAATGCATAGCATTAATTTTGCTATGTTGAAGTAGTTACTGTGACTTCCTTCTCCGTTGGATATGCCACAAATGTCTTCTTTTACTTGTATTGTTAGTTAGAAGAAGTAGCTTGGCTTGTTAGTTTGGAATATTTGTTTGATCGTTTACTTTGAATTACTGAATTTCTGTTATATCATTTGTAAAAAGTGTCTGCGGGTTTCATCCAATCTCTACTGGATTATGGTGGATTATGGTGGCTTGTAGGCTGCCTGTTCCATCCGGCTGTCCAACAGCTCTAGCTCTAGCTCTAGGTTTGTTCGGTACAGATAAATGAGGACTGAGAAATTGAAATAGTCTCATTAGTCTTGTTTCTTTTGTTTGGTTGAATTATAGAATTGACAATTGACAATTAAATGATTTCTTATTTCGGATTCCATTTGTCACACCTATATGCATAGACTAGAAAATTGTGAGTATTTTTATTTTATATATTTCTTTTATTATTACTATGTTATTGCTGAAAGACAATTGTTGCTGTGAATCCAGGTTTATGCAATGGGTACTGATTTAGATCCGTTGGATGATATTTTTTCTGAGGAAGGAGTGCAAATTGGTAAATTCTGGTCACTGAAGTTCCTTTTCTTTTTTTGCTCAATTGTCTTTGTTGATGTGAATACTATGGATTCAATGATCCTCTTTTTTTTTTTTTTTTTTTTTTTTTTTTTAATTTTTTTTTTTATTTGCAGCCAAGCCGAAGAAAAAATTCCAGCCAAAGGTGAAGTCGAAATTCCAACCAGCTAAACAGGACTCAGCAGCACCATCAGTTTCTTCCATGCGACCATCCCAGGCCATTGAGACAACAGCAGCAGCTGACATAAGTGATCCTGTTAAGACTGTGAATCCCTCCGAAAACCGTTAGTGTCAATTTAGTTTAGTGTATGGCATATGCAAAATATCGTTTTAATTACCACCTTGAAAGATGAATATATAATAGATCATTGTTACTTTTAAGTGATTTCAGGTCCAGATCATGTGTTCAGTGGTAATGAAAGTGGTTGTGCTTCCGTAGAGAAGTCAGCCCCAGAGGTGAGTCTGATTATGTTTCACAGTTGCTGATTTGATTGGCTGACATGTATTTATTCTCAATTTATGCTGTTGGTTTGCTCGGGTAGATTTGAGCAATTATTTTCCTAGTTTATCTATAATAGCTTAAGTTGCATTAGTGTGAGCTTGAAGTTACATTTGGCGTGCAACCTGTAATTTTCTTCCTGCTAAAGCTTATCAGTATACCGGTTGTTTGGAGAGAGAATTTTTGACTTGTTATTATACTAAATTTCTTCCATTTTGTATTATATTGTTCTGTGTGCACATACTGACTTGTTAAACCAAAATTTAAAAATATAAAAGATTCTCATTTTTCCATAATGTTGGACCAAATAGAGAAATTATAGGGGTGCGTTTGGTATAGGAAAATTAGGATAGAGAAATAGAAGTATCCCATTTCCTTTGTTTGTTTGGGTCAGAGAAAATTTTTTATGATTTCTCTGTCCCTGTTCATTTCTCTTCCAAGTGCAGATAAATAGAGATAAATGAAAGTTGAGAAATATATGCATAGCGCGTTTATATGTCATTTTTTTTTTCATTTCTTTGTACTATTTAACTTTCACATTTTCCTTTAAAAATACACTATTGTAATTTTACAAACCATCACATTCAAATCAATATTCAAACAAAAGTTGAAAATCACCAACTAAACACAGACAATATTTCTCTACAGATTCCCATTTCACTAAAATTTTCTTTTACTCGATTCTTTTTTTTTTTTTCTTGATCGATGCATCATCTCTCTTTCCATTTTCTACAGATTCCCATTTCACTAAAATTTTCTTTTACCAATTCATTTTTTCCTCTTGATCGATGCATCATCTCCTTTTTCATTTGCAACATTGTCTTCTCCATAACATTATTTTTGTTTTATATTTCTCAATTGAATTATCTGTTTTACTAAACGGAAGAATCAAGTCTCATTTGAATTTTATTATTTTTCCTAATTCTATTCTCTACTATCATCTTTTCTCAATTTAATTCAATGTACCAAACGCACTCTGGCTGTCTTTCTATCCTCTCTTCCCAAAATGGCTTTCAGAAATTAACTGTGAAACCAGTCAATCCTTTCATAAATACACCTTGTTCTCTAGTAAGCATTGCGTTTCATCATATGGCATTGTTTGTACAGAGTAATCTGAGATTTTAGATGTTCATACGAGAGTTTCTGAGAGAGATTGTGGAGGCAGAGGCAGGTCTGCTTAGGAGGCAGTATTGGCGTAGTTGTGGGATATAGTTGAGCAATTTTTTTTTCCTGGTTTATTTATAGTAGATTTAATTGGATGAGTGTGGACCTGGATTTACATTTTGGCCTGGAACTTACGATGTTGTTCCCGCAAAGCATAGCAGAATTGCCATGTCCATGCCCAATTTTTCTAGATGACTAAATCGATGTTTGTGTTATATATCTTGTAAGGGTTTCTTTTATTTTTTTTTATATTTAAATTGTTTAATCAGAGAAAAGAGGCATCTTTTTCTGTGAATCCAGGTAAACGTGATGGGCCTTGATTTAGATCCGCCGGATGATATTTTTGCTGAGGAAGGAGTGAAGAATGGTAAAATCTGGTCACTGGAGTTCAGTTTTTTAATTTTTTTCTTTTTTTAAAGTGAGAAATATAAAACCTATGGGTTACGGATGCTCTTAAATTTCTTCTTTTTGCAGCCCCATCAATGGGTAAATTCCAGCCGAAGGTGAAGGACTCAACAGCTTTACCAGTTTCTTCCATGCCGCCATCCCAAACCATTGAGACAATAGTAGCGGGAAGTGATCCTGTTGAGACTACAAGGCCCTCTGAAATTTGTTAGTGTTAATTTAGTGTGGGTTACCCAAAATATTGTTTTAGTTACAACATTGGATGGTAATATATTGTGATTTTTGCTTTTAAGTGATTTCAGGCCCAGATCTTGTGTTCAGTGGGAATGAAAGTGGTTCTGCTCCCATAGAAAAGTCTCTTCCTGAGGTGAGTCTGTAATTATGTTTCAAAATTGCTGATTTAATTTGCTGAGTGCACTTATTCCCAAATTTAGATGTTGATTTGCTTGGGTAGAGTTGAGAGATCTTTTTCCTGGTGTATAAACATAGAAGACGCACGTGCTGAATTTTACTTTTAGATAACTGAATTGATGATTAGTTAAGATTGTAAAATTTTTTGCCTTTTAGATTTTTTTGTTAAAGAGGATTATTGCTATGAATCCAGGTAAATACAACGGCCATCAATTTGGATCCTTTGGATGATATTTTTTCTGAGGAAGCTGTAAAAAATGGTAAAATCTGGTCACCGGAGTTCTTTTTTGTTATTTGTTGATTGTCTTTGCAGATGTGACATGTGAGTACTATGGCGTAGATGGCGCTCATAGTTTCCATGCTTTGCAGCTCAGCCAATGCGTAAATTCCAGCCAAAGGCAAAGACAAGATTCCAACCAACTAGAAAGGATTCAGCAGGAGAAACAGTATGCTCTATGCAATCTTCTCAAACCACTGCGACCACAGTGGCAGCTGAGTTATGTGATCCCATCAAGGCTGTAAAGCCATTTGAAAATTGTTAGTGTTAATTTATTACACAGATTATGCAAAATGTGGTTTTAACTTTTAGTTACAATAGTGAAGGGTGAGTATATAATTGGTTGTTATTGTTACTTTTAAGTGATTTCAGGTCCAGATCTTCTGTTCAATGGGAATGAAAGTGGTTGTGCTTCCATGGAAAAGTCAGTGCCCGAGGTAAATCCGTAATTATGTTTCATGATTGGTGTTTTAAAATTTGCTGACCTCGACTTATTCTCAAATTAGAACGTTGACATATTCCATGGGTTGGAAGCACTTGAGGATATGCTACCAAACAATGATACTCTTATGGGTGAGTTTATATTGATTGATTTCATTTATTTTGCTTGAGCTATCGGCTGACAAAACCTTAACAGCAGTTTCAGAAGGTGCTGCCCCTTCATCAGAGTGTCCAAACCCCAAGAAGGCTGGAGTACATGTTCTTCCGTTTCCTGCTTCTGTTAAAGACGCAAACAATAGATGTAAGAAGGATGATGTTCCTGCATGTCCAGAGCTATCGGACGGCCTAGATCCTTTAACTGCTGGTGAATCTATTGTATCAATTACCGATGCATTTGGTCAATTGCATGAAGAGGTACATAGCTTATTTTGCTTACTTGGGGGCTCTTTTTAAATCACTAAACATGAACACTTTTTGTTTGACTAATTTAATTTTTGTAAATAATAAATGGCTAATTGCAGGAAATGTACATAATGGATTCCCTCCATATGTCTGAGTTAACAGCTAAATTTGGTATATGTTGATATATAAATTACTGCCTCCATTATATGTATTTATCTTTCACATTTGAATGTTGAGTCCTTGTCTATCCAGAACAGAAAAGAGGAAAATTTCAGCCGAAGCCAAAAATACAAACATTGCAGAGAGAGATTGGTGAAGCTAATGAGCCTGTTTCCTCCTCACCTGGTTCACAATGTGTTGAACCTGAAACTAATTATGCTGGAGTACCTCAGCAAGATGATATGTTGGATCTTTCAGACCTGGGATTTACTCCTTCATTGCCCATGGAAGTTACTTCTGAAGTTCCATTGACTGAGGCGTCAGTGAATCAAATGGAGATGACTCAGATGGACACAGGCATCCATCCAATTGTTGCACCTGAGATTCCTGCGAAACTCGTGAGTCATTTTGCCATTGTTGAGGAATGTTGCTTGTCCTTGTATTATGTTCAATGCTCTGTCTTATTTTGATTTTCATTAGGGTATTACTTTATGTCTCTAGGCTTCTCGTCGTGCAAACTCTGGAAGGACTAAAGCTCAATGTGCATCAGCTCTTTCCCCACAAAACAAAGAAGCTTTCACATCTGGTGAGGGCAATGAAATGCGTAGATCATTACGGCCAAGGAAAAACACTGGCAATCTATGTGAACTGGTTGATGAAGCTGATGAAGAAGTGCTTACTGGTGGGGAGATTTCTGATGAAATTCCCATAAATGCTGCTGTAGAGGATGAATATGTTGATGAGGAATCTCAACTTGAAAATGAATCACATAATAAAAAGATCAAGCGGAAGCCTAAAAGATCTTTGAACGGAAAAGAAAAATCAGCTGGGAAAAGGAAAAAGGCTGAGGAGGTAACAGATAAGGGTCCAGTTTCAAAGCCTAAAAGGTTCCCTCATTCAACTCGGCGAAGGCGAGGTATTTGTAATTTATGAGAATATTAGTAACTAGACATTGGTCTGCTCCCTAATTGATTGGCTAACTCCAAATCTTCACTATATAGTGGACAAAGCTTTGCTTGAAACTCCTGAAGATGAAATTGATTGCCGAAATATACCTCTTAGGGATTTAATTCTGCTTGCAGAGCACAAGGAGCGGCAGATGGTATGTTATATATGTATTTCTGTAATATTGTGTATAATACCGCACGACTATTGATTAATGCATAATATGTTGTGAATGGTGTAAATTGAATCATCGAGCTTACATAGCTATGTTTCTCCTGATGTTATTATTATTGAGTCTTTATTCATGAATTGTGGTCTCATTATCCAATTATGCAGAAAAAAGACAATACAACAGGAGCAACGACAACAAATCAAAGGTAAATGACATGTCCATTAAGGACCTTGAGATGTTCATCTGAGTCACATGAAATGCCAAAACACTTTATTATGTTTTATCGAGGACTTGTGGAGATATTTTATTTTGATCTAAAATCTGATCTTGAATTTTTGGATTTTATACATAATCGGTAGCAGCAATGAAATGTAGATTGCTTAATGCATATTGTTGTATTTGTTAAAGTTGAAAGAAGGCATTAAATTAAATGTTTTCCATACTGAGTTAATGGCCCATTGAGGGTTAAGGAGGCAATGGAAGAGTGAAATAGAGTGGGTTATGTTTTTCTTGACTTTCTTGGATAGGTATTGCATTGAATAGCTTCTTTTTTCTATTATAAAACTGTTGGTTATATACATTAGTTAGATCTTACCCTAGCACCTGCATTAAGGACATTCAGGCTATGTTTAATGAGGTTTGGAGTGTGCATCTATAATCCGAGTGAGCTTTACAGTTTCAATATTTCACCATCTAGCTGTGAGTAGTGGCTTCCAAGTAAACAGTAGTCCATTTTTAGAGTAAGATTATGTGCTTTTCTCTTATCAGAGCAATTTTCTTTAATTAGTTGAATGCAAAATGTTGTTTTCTATTTGCAACTGTGAAAGAATAAATTTGATCTTTGATTCTGCTCTTACTTTGCTTTTGTACTTGTCTCTTCATTAAATCTGATGTATATGAAGCAGTGAATGTTCAAGTTCACTTTAAAATACAATACCACTTAAATTTTGTGCAGTTGTTCCAGTTAATAACTATCTCATTAAGTCACATTGAACTTTAAATAATGCCTGAAGTTCCTTACGAGTTACTCTACCAATGTAATGATGTGTTAAATATAATACCTTTGTGTTGCATTTATTTGCTTATTAGATTATCTTTTAATCCAGATTTCTGTTTTGAATTTGAAACATAATTTGAAGTTCATGTGATTGCATTTTTTATTAAAAATTATTATTATTATTATTAATTTCATACAGAATGATGCATTTATTTTTGTATTTTGTCATAATGGTAGTTCCTCGAGACAAAATGGAGAACAGGATGAGCAAGACCCTGAAATGGTCGACACTACTGTCTACTTCAATTACCAATCTCACATGGATAGAACACCAGCCACCAGATGGTCTAAACAGGAAACTGAGTTGTTCTATGAGGTATGCCTTTCTGGGACCTGTAGTATTAGGATTGATTTTATTAATTCATTTATTTATTAAAAATAAGAATGGAAGTTTGTTTTTGCTTTGAAAATGGTTCGAGACGAAGAAAAGGAGGGTTGGTTTTTATCACTATATTATGTTTTCTATGAAGAAATTATGTTAGACTAGTTTTTCCCTTCATTAACTTGCAACTTATGACCTGATTGAGTCCTTGTTTGTCATTTGTGGTTCCTTGCAAACTAAAGTGTGATTCATCAATCTGATCAAAGAATCATTGGCACTCATCAGTGGCCGTAGAAATCCCCAAACAAATTGGAAAACAGTATTGTCTATAAAAGGGTTTTTAATTATCTAAGAGAATGCAACTCTAAGTAAAACCTACTAAAGCATAAGCGAGACAATTAATGTAAAAAGTCGAGGAAGTTCTTATCACAGGGAAGATTACACTACAAACACCAAGGCACTTTCACTGTTGTTTGTTTGCAAAAAAGAAGTTTGAAGTGATGGTTAATGCCATACAAAGACAATTATTTCCATGTCAACTGGGTGGAGAAATGCTTTCATATTCTCTGTATCATTAAGTTCTTCCGCATTATATTCTTTTTTCTTTTCACTCCCCTGCACATGACAAACTTACATACATTCACCCCCGTCCTCTCATTAATTTAGTGGCTTATACTCATAAAAAAAAAATACTTCTATGTTTATGAATTTTTAAATGCATTTCTTTGATAATCCTTTGCTGTTGGTTTGTTGTGAATATACTTTTAGAAAATTTTATGTGTCTTTATATTATTTGACAGGGTTTGCGGCAGTTTGGGACAGATCTTTCAATGATTCAACAGCTTTTCCCTGAGCGTAGCCGTCGTCAAGTAAAGTTGAAATATAAAAAGGAAGAACGACAACAACCGCTGAGACTTCGTGAAGCTTTAAGTAACCGATCAAAAGGTAGATCTTTACTCAATTCTGTATCTCTGTGTGTCCTAGGAATTAAAAATGCTAACATACCTGATAAAGAAACATTGGGCTTGTTTAGATGTGTTCTATAAGTGTTCTTTTGGGGGGGTTTGGAAAAATCACTACTGAGCTGTTTGTAACAATGACATGTGCTGTTTGTTTATAATTACAAGTGTGCTATATAAGTGTATGTCATGTGGTGAAATGAACTGCTACATGTGCTGTGTGAGATTATATCATGTGTTGTAGTTTATGTGCCGTTTTTGTATTATATGAATATAAATGATGTGCTGTCACTAACATTACCGTTTTCTGTTTGCTAGTTATCTGCGTGCTATTAGTTCATATGCTGTTTTTGTATTATATTAATATAAATGATGTGTGCTCTTACTAATATTACCGCGTGCTATTTGCTAGCTTTCTGTGTGATGTTCAGCACAACGCTGAATCTCTGTAGCCGCCGTGGCCTTTTTGGGGTAGTAAAAAGTTAGATTGGAAAACATGTGTTTGAAGTGATATTTTAAATGAAAAAGAAAAATAGTTATTGGATATGATGATTTTAAATAGATAATATGTTTTTGACGTAATATTTTAAATAAAATTGACTATTGGATATTATTAATTTAGAAAAAGTATTTTTTTTGATGAATGATTGTTCTAGGAAATAATGGTGCTATATCATTAAGAGTACTGAATCTTTTTGTATCTTGTAGATTGTTCCCATTTCCAATGGGTCATAGAGAACTTAAAAAAGAAAGCTGCTGAAGAAAGTCAGAATGCAGATTATGATGATCCAATAGATTTGACAGCCAATGAAGGCGATGAGGAGACTCTAAATGTTGACGTATGAGACATTTACAGAATTTATTCGTCATTTTGGTATCTTATTTTAATATTTGATTGTTTATTATTTTTTTACACTTGACATGCATTATGTAGAAAGAAGAAACAAAAGAAGAGCAAATTGAGGAAGAGGAAAAAGAGGATGCAGCAAAAGATTTGGAAACTCAAAGACCTACAAATGTTGACTATGAAGATGAAGATGAAGATTGGTCAAATATATTTAGATAGATATTGTTTAGATTTATTGATTATTATATAAACATATCTACTAGATATGATATTAGATTTGATTGTTTATTATTTCTCTTTTGGAATAGACAGAATTTACTAATTCACGTTTTCTCCGATATATTTTGTAATGTATCCAATGTATCCGGAGGATTTTCTTTCAAATATGAGATCCACTACCAATAGCATTGTATTCTTAATTTGTGAAACACTTGCCAAATATCATCATAAAAAACACTGCATATAAATTATCAATGTCGACCAAAGATTGATCAATGCTATAGGTTAATTCGGTCAACAATTTCATTGTCGCTGGCTTTAGCTGTGCATTTGGTGTCTAATTGCTAGAATTTTCTTGCAACAAACATATTTATATATGTTTAGCTTTATCTGTCAAGTTTTCAGTTTGATTAAGATTTTTTGTATGGTATTTAATTATTTATTCGGAGTTTCTGTCCATTAGGGTTTAACGTCTACAGATAAGTGCCGGTGTCGCGGCTATAAAGGATTGCCGTTATCAGAAATTCTACTTTGATGTCACTGTAGCGACAGAAGATCGTTTCCGCCGCCGCTGCAACAGAGAATCGCGGTTATTAAAATCCTAATTTGTCTAAAACTTTAATTTATTAAAGTTTCGAGCCGTTGCGACAAAGGCTTGCCGGCGCGTGCCTGCAGTAGAGGGTTGATGCCATTGAAAACTTTAATTTGGCCAATATTCTAAGTTCTTAGGCACACTACGATAGAGAATTGATTCAAATGCTGATGTCCAGTTATGAAGTCTGTTCGTATTCAACCACCTCACCTCCTATTTTTTTTTCTAAACTCGAGTTGACTTCTATATTACTAACTTGAGTTTGATAGAAAATTGATTCGAATGCTGATGTCCAGTTATGAAGTCTGTTCGTATTCAACCACCTCACCTCCTATTTCTTTTTCTAAACTCGAGTTGACTTCTATATAACTAACTTGAGTTTGAGGCAGAGTGTTGAAATAGATTTTAGATATATTATTTAAATTTGTTAAGTATCGTATAATCATATTTCTAAATTAAATTGTTATTATGTAGATATAATATTAGATTTGGTTATTATTTAACTTCATTATTTTGTATAAAGTGAGAGTATGAGATAAACAGGATATAACTATTTTCCATATTTTGGAAGAAGTAATATCTAGAGTGACAAATGAGTTTCACATCATATTTTAATAATAATGGATTTTAAATTTCTTAGTTATTATCTTAAATTACATATGATGTTATTGCGGCGGGTTTGAAAGGTGATTTCCTTCAAATACTTCAATCCAAATGGCCTCCATACTGTTGGAATATATTTTTCCGCCAAATATGAGATATGATGAAATCTGAAAATACAAATAATTGAATATTATATTTAAATAAATTCGAGCCTCCCGTAGCACGCGATTTTCTTGAAGCGAATTCGGCTCTCTACCGATCGCTTTCCAGGATAGAACGAATCAAAACGGAATAACAAATTCCGCAAATTGAACTAGAAAATTTTTTGAAGGAAATTTGTAGAGAATTTTTCCGAGGAATTTGAAGAGAAATTCTCCAGAGAGTTTTTGAAAATTGATTTTTTCTTTCTTTCAAAAAACGAGGAAAATAATATATATATATTATATTTTTTAGATTATTTTGTATTTAATCATGTGAGAGAAAAAAATTGTCCACACCGTTGCATTCAATTGCAACAAATTATTTTATCTGATTAGTTTATTTTATTTTTCAAGTCAAAATAAATTAATTAGATAAAATGTGGGACAAATAATTTATTCCCCTTTCACTTTTTTAATTAAATACCCAACAATCCCGAGGAAAATGATAATTAGATGAAAGAAAAATGAATTATGCATAGGATAAGTAGGTTTTCTTTTGAACTTTTTTTGAGCAGTATGTAGTCTTTACCAATTGTTCAGTAGACATGTCCTTGAACTGTTCAATTTTCTAGTAAGTGGGCTACATACCGAGACAAAATTCATATGCTTAGTTCGGTTCTCATTGTTTGGTCTGTTTTGGCCATAGAACCCGTCTTAGTTCTGCAAGAGCTTCTAAAAAACTGAGCCTAAACCGATCTCCTATGAAGTGTCATCACTTCTCTCTCACATAGGTGATCTTTCTAAATTTGCAAGCGATACAATATTAAAGCAATTATTTGCTATCCATTATACTGTGTCACTGTTCATTGACAGGAATGGTTTGAGGCCATTAGCCCCCACAGTGACATACATAAGTCTTATAAGTATAGGTTGTCCCATTGAACCTAATTTTTAGAATCTCCAATTTCTTTTAAGTTGGGTTTTTCTTTATAAAACTTTTTCTTCAGCAGGCTATATTGGCTTTTCTGCCAAGCATTAGATGTCCCCTGCTTTTCAGGTTCGATCTATGCTCCTCTTCAGTTTGGAGACAATTGATCATTCTCGTCATATCCATTTTTCTTCGGTTTGTATTTCAAGTAAATCTTGAAATCACCCCAACTAGGTGGCATTTTTTTTTTCAGCATGCCACGTTTTAAAATTCTGTTCATTGAATTTTTTTGACTTCTCGGTTGCCGCAACAACAGGCTGCCTGAAAGTTGTAGCAATAGGTTGTGTTACATGGTCCGCACCAGCAATAGACTCTAGACCCTCCAAGTCATTTGATTGTTGTCCGGAAGACGCAACGAGTCCCTGCACAGGTCCTGAAATCATATGTTGCGGACGAGGCAGAACAACAACAGATTGTTTCAAACAGGTATCAACAAGATTCTGTTTTTTCCTCTCATCAACAGGCTAGTTGGATGTTGCAGCAATAGGCTGCGCTCCCTCAATCGCGGCCTTGAAGGCCTGTTCGTACGCTGTCTGCGCAGCCTTTTCGGCAGCGGTCCTCTTGGCTGCCTCACCATTTGGGCGGGGTGGCTGAGGTCTTGGTAACAGAGAGAATAAGAATGTGAGGCTTGTTGGAGTTAACCTATCGTTCTCCTCCCCGTCTCCCCATCTGTGTCGATCTGAATATCATCGTTCAGATTTTTGTTGCTGTGCGCGATCATTCTTCACTTGCTGTCAAGAATGAATCTAACAACAACAAAATATATTCTCCACATATATATTTCTACGTTCTTTGTTTTTTGTCTTTTGTTTTTGAGGTCGAGGCCGAAGGCGAAAATTGGTACCGAATGCTTGCAGCGACTGACAACAGATACAAGGAAGCTAAGCAGCAGAGAGAACCATGTATGAATTGCCGGCTCATCTGACCACTTCTCTTGCACTTCATGAGAATTCCATTTTGTTTCTAAAAGCAAGTGCAATACAAGAAATTCAAATACAAATTCTGAGAAATATCCAAGGGCTTGAGCAATGTTTCATCCCTAACGAATAAAATTCTTCAAAATAACTCTCATATCTACAATGATCAATATTTAAACTAAAATACAAAAAATATATATATCAATTTCTAATCGAATAAAAAAAAACCCAACCCTGAAAAATTCATCTTATCTTCTAATAAGCTTTATCGAACTCAAACAGACGCCACAGCGGACATGCAACAAATGCATAAAATTGAACAAATTGCACACAGGAGAAAAAGGCAATCAACTAGTTGAAATCCTTTCCCCTTGAAATATCAAAAGTAAAGCACATTTTCACTTAATTAAAACTAAGCAAGCAGTGAATCACCGGAATGCAAGAGATCCTAGATGGAAGCTATTGCGATGCGAGTTCATTTCAAGATTGTTGGAAAATATTTTTAGCGATACGAGGAAATCCGAAAACACAAATCATTTAATATCGGATTTAAATAAATCCGAGCCTCGCGTAGCACCGAAATTTTCTTGAAACAAATTCGGTCCTCCACCGATTCAGGATAGAACGAATCAAAACGGAATAACAGATTCCGCAAATCGAATTAAAAAATATTTGAAAGAAAATTTGCAGAGAATTTTTTCGAGGAATTTCAAGAGAGTTTTTGAAGAGTTTCTGAGAATTGATTTTTTTTTTTTCTCTTTGTTTTTTCAAAAGAAGAGGAAAATATAGTATATATTTTTCAGATTATTTTGTATTTAACTACAAAAAATTGGTCTGCATTGCATGCATTCAGTTGCAACAAATTATTTTATATGATTATTTTATTTTATTTTTTCAAGTCAAAATAAAATAATTAAATAAAATATGAAACAAATTATTTATTTCTCTTTTACATTTTTAATCAAATACCCAACACATACAACAAGAGAGATCGAAGAAATTAAGGTGTCAAGTATATTTTGATACACCAATATTTTACAGCACGCAGCTGTGAGACATCCTTTATGAATGAATGCTATGCTATTGCTGTTGGCTGGTAAGATGTTTGTTCTTTAATCTCCTGTTCTCTACATTTACTATACTAATTATCAAAGACAATTTTCAATTAATTTATAAGCTGAGCAGAGTAATGTGTTGGGGTGCACACCCAAGTTCTACATGAGAAGTTGTGAAGAAAATTACACACCTTGTAAGTCCCAAGTGAATTCCACTAGTACGAGGCATTTTGGAGAATATCCAAAAACAAATCCGTGCGAACTCAGCCCAAAGCGGACAATATCATACTAATTTTGAGTTGGCCCAGTCCCAACATAATGAGCATTTTAGTTTTAGTTTTAATTGCATTATATTTGAGACTAAATATGCTTTCGTTATGTAATATGATGCATTGCCAATTGCATATATATATATATATATTGATAGATATTTAATATTTTCCTCCGTCCACAAACTAATATCCTATTTTCCTATTTGAGACGCCCAACAACTATTGTCCTATTTTATTTTTTAAACATAAATTTTACATTTTTATTGTTCATTTATTTATTACTTTTATTTTCCACTATACAATTACGGACAAATTTACCAATTTATAACAAAAAGAATATCGTACAAATATACTTTAGGACAATAACAATTGGACGGAAGGAGTAAATTGTTGGTCAGATCTTGCTTGGGAGTTTAGTTAATCTAATGTTACTACTGTCTCCATCTATGTTGCTGCTATTAATTAATGTATCTTTGTTTGTTTTCAAACATGTTATATTCACTCTCCCTTTTGTGCTATTGAAAAAGCTAGTGATTTTTGGTTTGAGCTCAATGATTTTCTTTTTTCTACGATGTGGGAACCCAAAAGCGCGCACTAGATAAATTTTCGGTCGAACCT